GAAGTTTGAGGGTAGGCTCACAAAGTCAGTCAGAGAAGTACAAGGACTGGACTGTTTTGTATGTTTGTACACTGCCTTGATAGTTTTATGGGGGTGACCTAGAAATCCTTTAAGTATAAAATAAAAATGCCCTTATGGTCCACACTTATAAAGATCTTCAAAGACCCAGCATCATGAATAATTGTTACTACACTTCAGATGAACTGGGCCTGATGTACACAATCCTTAAAAACTAGGAAACGCTTGCAGAATTAACAGCAGTGAGGGGATATAAGTGGAATAAATATCTGACAAGGATTTTAGCAGAGAACTGTTTTTCCGAAGGCTGAACACTTCCTCAAATGGATTTTTTCTCTCTTACAAAAGAGCATCTGCACAGATATATAGAAATATTTCTCTCCCCCAGAAGATTTTACAACTGCTTTGTGAGCAAAGCCCCATAGGTTATGAAACAGATGTCTTTACACATTTAATGTATCACTTGTTTTCTGTGTAGATACAGCAATGCCAAAAACACAATGCCAACAGGATGCACTACTCTGCTCTTTGTTTGTCTTGGCTGCTCTTCCCATTATAAATATGTGTCTGGATCTGGCTGGAGGTGGATGTTTCCAATCAGTTTGGTCATTTTTAGGTTTCCTTAAGCCAATTAGCAATTAGCAAATCATACTGAAATTTGTTAATTTCTTCCCCCTCTGGTTTTCCCTCTGTGGGGAACTGGATAGTTTGTAATGACAATTTAATAACATGAGGTCATCCTTACACAAAGCAGTTGCATACAGAGGCTTGCTCTAGAAAAATGTGGTTTCAACTCACGTTCTTATGATAATGATTTAATGTTTTTCAGTACAATGTAGGGATATATTTCCTTCGCCTTTTACATCTATGTGACATTTCAGATTCTTCCCAATATGTCCCTAAATGGTCCTCTTGTGCGTGTCTGTCCACTTCACCTTACTGGGAGTGGCACATACTTCTGCAGACAGAGAACACACCTAACTTACCGTAATTCTTAATTCTTGTGTCCTTTTATGGAACGGAAACAAATGCTACTAACTCAGCCAATCAACTGTTGTGGCTTATTGTCTCCCATTTCTCTATGGTGTGAGAAGCTACTGCATAATTCTCATGGACCCATTCATTAAATGCTCTTCATTAGGGATTTTGACAGCCATATAGTAGGGGCTGAAGGGAAAGGATAAAAGAAACACTACTTCCACACTGAGAAGCTTGAAGCCTTCTGGGGCTTACAGGCACTATTTATTTATTTATTGGCTGTTTTGTTTTAGACACATGCCTCAGTTTTCTTGTAAGAAACCAAAGCAGCTAATAGTAAACAAGTTAGAACAACACCAAAATAATCAAAACAGAAATCCAATAAACTTGGCGCCACATTGGATACAAGCCTGTATTTCTATCCTGCACTTGGGTCTTTTTCACTCCATGCTGGAACAGATTCCTTTGCACCATGCAGACTTCAGAACCACTCATCACCCACCTACAGTTTTAGAAATCTTCTGAGCTGAATTAGTGGAACTTACAAGAAGGTTACAGGGTCCTCTACTAGGACATTTCAGCCCTATAAATTCTGCCATGGCCCCCAAGTGAATGAGTTGGTTCTTTCCCAAAATTCTTCTATTCCATCCAGTACAGTACACATCTAGGGAGAATGGCAATTTGGTAAGTAGTAAAACCACTACTACACCTGTGAGCAAAGCGTATAGATCTCTTCTACAGAAAGTGGAAGAAGTGAATTTATAACAGATCTGTCTTCTCAAGTCCCTGTCCATCGTTTTTATCAGGGACATATTCATCTAACAGCCCTATTAACCACTGAATCAGACCACTGCATGAACCTAAGTGCTTCGTCAGCAGAGCCAAGTCAATAGACTGACATCTGGCTTCAAATTTCTCTGTGGTTTTTAAAACAAATGATTTCGTTCCAATCCTGTCCTTTATGGGCAAAAATTAATTACTGGGGTACAAACCATTGCATGTCATTGAAACAAATGGTGTCCATGTTTGCTTGAAAGGGCGTGCGTGTTTCTTGGGGGCGCGGGGAACTATGCCTGCTTTTTAGTGTGCAAATGTAAGTAATTAGTTTCCCAAGAATTCCAAAGCGCCTTAATTTTTTGCACATGTTTTAAGAATTATTCTTGATGATATTCTTCAAAAAGGTCTGACTTTGGCCAGCTTCACTCAACTCATACTGCATTGTCCTAACACAGTGGTGTCAAGACCAAGTTTGAAAATTTATCCTGACTAGAGGTAAATGTGGAGGCAAGGTGACAATTTAAAGCTGACACAATTTAGGGGGAAGGAGATAATGGCTGCCAAGGCAGCACTTTATGCCCCTTCATCTGTGTTGGTCTCACGTAGGGACAACAGCAAAGATCAAATGCTCACCCCCTATGACAGCATAGGCTTGCTGGGAGTGAAGAAAGCAGCAACAGAAAGAAGCAGAGGAAAAATGGGCACTGATAGATCTTCCAGCTCAGGGGTGGCTAACCTGTGGCCCTCCAAATGTTGATGTACTACAGCTCCCATCACTTCTGACCCTCAGCCATGCTGACTGGGGCTGGAGGGAGTTCGGAGTCCAATAACATCTGGATGGTCACAGATTAGTCATCCCTGTTCTAGTTATTTTTGTTTTGAAATCAGCAAAATGAGAGAATAAGAGAAACCAGTGCCTTACCCCAGTAGCACAGTGAGGGAATTCTGAAACCCTCTTTCACTATGTTAGTGCTTGAAGGACTAGTTGGTACTCTTATTATTTTTCCTACCTCAACAACCACTCCATCTCACTCTATGTTAACAGATTCCACATAATTCAAGTCTACAGGTTCTCTATCAGGACTCTTCCTATGCCACTAGCATTCTACGGCAGTCATGAAACCGAGCCTAGACACTCCACAGAACATCAGAGTCAGTTCATAATATATGTCAGTTGCCTTTGGGTCTATAATAAATGAAAAATATTCATATATCAAGTACGCCTGTATTTCCCCCTGTTATACAGTGAACACTCAAAATTCCTCACATATCTGTAAAAATATATGGTTATGATGCCGGCAATCACAAAACTGTACCTATATGCCTGGTTTAAAGGTGCAGGTTACTCATTGATTTGTCAAGTTGCTAATTAGGCTGAAATCTCTTACTTGCTTAACTGGGAGCAAATGCCAAAGCACTTAATAGGTTTTACTTCTGAGTAGACATGCATAGGACTGGGCTGTTGGTCCCTTGCATCTCCATAATTCTGAATCTATGAAGACCAATCAGAAAATGTGACTTAACTGACAAACTGTTACCTGAATTCGCAACCACTGACTTCAGCAAGGGATCTTTAACAGCCCTCTGTAACCAGGCACTACCATCCCCAGCTGATTAGATTTCACACAGACCAGGGTCAACATCTGTTTAAAAAATGAATTTCAGAATGGTTATTCACACTGCACAATGCAAGTCTTAATTACCTGACTTAAGCCCTTCCCCCCAACTTGTTCTGTCCCCGTGTATATTAATCTGATTAACTCATGTAATTTACATGAAAAGGGATTAATGTCTGCACAAAGGGATCTTTAAACAGTGTGCACCAGGATGTGTGCAGTAGCTGTGCCTGCAAGAGAGGAGATGAAAGGGGGAGGAGGAGAGAGAGCTAATGCATTTAGACTTCTCCTAGAGAGTACACATTTACAAATGCAACGTTTAAAACATTTAGGAAAGAGTGTGCTGCTTAGCACTGACTTCAGGCTACATTACCCTATGCGGCTAACTTTTACATGGCAAATAATCTATCCAGATGCAAATCTGATTGCTGGCATCATGGGGAATTTTAAGCAAGGATTAACTGTTCTTGAACGTTCCCCCCACTCCCATGTGTTAGGAACAAACAGGCTTTCTAGCCACATCAACCAAGAATTTCGTCTTCTACCAATTTCTTTTTGATTCACGAAGACAGATATATTGTTTGAATTTCCCTGCGCCCTTCTATTTTAATATATTCAACCCCCATATATTTTAAATGAATTTTGTGGAATTTGTACTGTCAATCCATAGGGGGAAAAAAGAAAAAGCCAATTGTTTCTACTAACTTCCTAGCCCTTTTACTCTGACATTTGTATTTTGCTCAATGTCAACGGACAAAAAGCCAAGGCGTATAAACCTTGACTTCAGAGTAGTGTGAAACACATAACGCTACCACCTTACTGAAGGGATGGGAGGCCTCCTAGGAGCCACATATATGACACCTTCAGGTCTGTGACAGGTTGTAATAAAAATGTAATAAAATAAACAAAATAAAATAAAATCCTTGAAACAGTTGTTCTAAGCAAAAAACAAAAGCAAAAAAACAAAAAGTAGTCTGAAGAAAAATAATTATTTATTTGACGAGATTCCACAATCTGATGTGCACATAGAGCTGTCTGCCCAAAGGAAGCTGCATGAATTTTAAAGGTGGACCATTTACATATAAGTCAAAGTGCACACATAACTCTTGAATGGGGCATTTAGTTATATAGGATGTATCCATTCCTTTCCTCCAGGAGCTCAAGGTAATATGAATCATAGTGTATAGATAGGTCCCAAGTGGTTTATCATCCAGGCATCAATCAGATACAGAAGTGCTTTGCTTCAGATAAATTCTTGTAGATATGCAGTTGCTGGGTATGTTTTATGGGTTTTGCAATGGTTTTATTGTAATACATTGTTGATTATTCTATGCTATGCCTTTGGCTATCCCCCCCCGGTCTTGTAGAGACTTTTTCCTCCTTTTCTATTAAATTACTAACAAGCTAATGAATTACTTACATGACTGAAGAAATAAATTCGTAATTATTGCTTTATGTACCTTAGCTCACATTCCAGAAGGAGACTTGTTACAGATCAATCTCAGCCATGCTAGTTTTAGAACGATTCCAGCCAAGCTCCCTCTGTGACATACAAGTGGTATCTATAGGGAAACATTCAATCACGACAATCCTCAGCTGCATTCTGAAATGGGCCGGCTAGGACAGCTCAGTCGGTAGAGCATGAGACCAACTTAATATCAGGGCTGTGGGTTCGAGCCCCATGTTGGGCAAAATATTCCTGCACTGCCTGGGAGTTCTTTCCAACTCTACAATTCTATGATTCTATGAGTCCTAGGAAGGCACATGGTGCCTCATACAGAACAGCAAAAGGCCAGTATATACAAATTTTGATTTAAACAACAGTGGTACCAAACAAGTGCTCATGTGTATTAATATAATATGGGGGATTGGTTTATCATGAATATGGCCGGCAGCAGTTCCCATTACTGTGGTGGTAATTTATACGGCCGTTTCACTCACAGGGAGTGCTGGCAGCTGTACGATGTCTATCTGATTCATACATTAACTTGTCTGTGTAAATGTGAGCCAAGGACAGCTGTAACTGCTCATGCATAGAATAAAATATCTTAAGTAAATCTGTTTACTTTTAAATGTGTTTGTAGGAGGGAAAGTATTGGTTTGTTTTCGTTCTTGTTTTTATTATGTATTTTGCACATTTTGTATTTTTATGCTGCGAAACACACTGTGATCTTCGGATGAAGGGCATTATACAAATTTAATTAATTAATTAATTAATTAATTACCTACCACCACCACCACCACCAACAACAACAACAAAGTAAACCAAACCTTCATTTACGGTTTATGTGGGGCAGCTGTCCATATACAATCATGGACTAAGGTTCAACTAAAGACATGTGTGACGCTCTCCTACTCGAATTACCTGTAGTAAAATTCTTTCAACTGCTTTTGTACGCTGCACTGTGCCTTATGAATGCCCAACAATTGTAAATTCAAGTCTGGCTTACAAAAGGGAATGTTAATAAATCAGTTCTTAAAGTTTTACTTTTTTTGTTTTGGCTTAATACCTTAAGTTGTAGTTAAATACAAAAGGAAATGCACATTAGAGTCAAGTTTTCAGTTTTATATTGCATGACTGGAGACTGCTGGGAGGAAGTTTTAATGTTTGATGTTTTATTGTATTTTTAATACTTTGTTGGAAGCCGCCCAGAGTGGCTGGGGAAACCCAGCCAGATGGGCAGGGTATAAATAATAAATTATTATTATTATTAGAAACGCTATGGTGCACCTGTAGTAGCAAAACTGGACACCTTCATCTGCCCCACCAGCAATAAAACATGTCTCTCCCGTATCAGTCTCTACAACCCCAGCACATGCTGTAATTCTCCAATGGTTTGACTTTACTCACAAAGGCTCACTCTTCCATTGTCTCCGAAGACAGACGGATGCCAACATTACATGTGACCTATTTATTTACTTCATTTAGACTGACTATTCTTGGTTTCCGGCCACAGTATATTAGTACGTTAATTTAGTGTATGGAATCTTGATTATCTTGTATGTGGCTGAAAGTGTTCACCCCCACTAGTAGATTTTTGAACATCAAGAATATTTCTGAGAGCCAGTGTGGTGTAGTGGTTAAGAGAAGTGGACTCGTAATCTGGTGAACCGGGTTCGATTCCCTGCTCCTCCACATGCAGCTGCTGGGTGACCTTGGGCTGGTCACACTTCGCTGAAGTCTCTCAGCCTCACTCACCTCACAGAGTGTTTGTTGTGGGGGAGGAAGGGAAAGGAGATTGTTAGCCACTTTGAGACTCCTTAGGGTAATGATAAAGCGGGATATCAAATCCAAACTCTTCTTCTAAAACTAGTACTGTATGTAGTGAAGGATTCTGCAGGACTGACTCAAGGCATTTTGCTACCTGAAGCAAAGGCGAAAATGGTGCTTCTGTCCCATTCCACATACAGAAACCAACTGGACTGGCAGTTCAATCTTACATTAACACTAGCCTTAGGGCAGCATCCTTCACCGCAGCTTAGGGCAGCAGGGTAGTTATGACGGTGCAGGACAGTCTGCACGGCACACATAGCTCTGTATTCCAACTGAACAGCTTGGTCAGAGGGCTCAGAAGAAACAGCTGAATGACTGCCACCATAACCACCCAGGCACCAGCTGTCAGATACGATTTCCTCACCCTCCCTAATGGTAGGGCCAGTCCTGAAATTCTGCAGTCCCACCCAGAGGTTTTGCTACAAATCAGGCGGCATATATTTTTTGTTAAACAAACTCAGAAACATTGTTTTCATAATACTTTTTCTTCCCACCCATCCTCTTCCCAAACCTGATGTGTTGTCCGTATATGTACGTAGAAGGGGAATATTAACTAAGAACATTATCTGCGAGGAAGTAACTTTGTAGAGGAAGTTCATGTGAATGTGCTCCCGACAATGAATGCAACTGGCCCCCCCTCCGCCTGCCCTGAGTAGATGGATGACCATAAAGCAAATCCATTTGTTTTGCTGGGATGGTTTACAGAGGAAGATTTTGTACTATTTGTTTTGCTTTTATTGAAAGATAAAAAGGGGGGAAAACACACACATACACACACTATTTTTCACTTTAAAGACAGACAGGATATTATTTCAAAGGTCTATTTGTTTAGCTACAGATGCTTTTGCTCTAGAAACAAGTCTTTGAATATCACATTTATTTTAAGAATATATTAAGTTCAAGAAAAGGAGGATTACATGACTGTTCTCCCAGATGAAAAGACCTTTACGTTTAACTGCCTGTCAGTCTACACAGAGTCAGGCACCTTAAATTGTTTGTAAACAGCAGCGCATGATTTTACCCACGGCAAATGACTTCCTGCTAAGATCCAATTCCAGATTAAACTTTTTACTGTGATGTACAATATACAAGGGTATTTTAATACTTAAATTTCTAGTGTTATTATCCTGCTATTAGCACTATGATCTTTACAATAATTATCTCACTTCTCTTCAGAAAAATTATGTGAGGAAACCACGTCCATTTCATGCTATACACTGGGAAATGAGAGAATGACTTGTCCAAGACAAGCAAGAGAATTCATAGCTACCATACTTTTATCTTTTACACTAACACCAATTTGTTAAATTCAAGTTTGTTTCCATTCATGTCACCAAACTGGGCAGTTTTGGGTACACAAATGTCAGGAGCAAGTCAGCAATAAATCACACAGAGTAAGTGAAGTTAACTCTTTATTAGAAAACAGGATTTGCTCAGGAGTGCCAGGCCTAATGAGCACAGAAACTCTTCTTGGGTAGGCCTTGCTCCTATGCTATGAGGCAGCTGTGGAGACTGAAGGTCCCTGCCTTCCCACAGCTGCCTAAGTCTCCTCCTCTCCCAAGCAATCTGAGACTAGGCTGGCATGCCTGATTTTGCTCCTCCCACTTCATACCTCTCCTGGTCCCAGGAGACCAGGGGGAATGGGAACTTGTCGCAGCAAGAGGGGGAAGACACCCTTGCTTCTTCATCAGCAGGACTCGTTTCTGTCTGTTGGCCTCCCTTCTCTCCTGCTTTTGCATTTCTCTCTGCCACAGACTTTCACTAAACCCTGTTACCTCTTCAGCTTCTGACATCTCCTCCTACCAGTCTGCTTCCTCTTCTTCCTCTGACCACTCATCATCATCCCACCACCAATTCCCTGGCTCTGAGCCTTCTTCTCTTGGGGGTTCCCCAGTTGTTGCCTCCCAGTATTCCCTCTGTGTCCAGCCAGTCCATAACAACAAATGGATTTATACTGCAGAACTGCCCCCACCAAGTTAATGAAATTTTTGAGACCTCCACATATGCATTAAACAACGCATGAAGCTATGGATAAGGATATGGAACACAGAATTACGGCCCAACAAATGTGGTGTTGTGGTTAGGGTGTCTGGCTAGGACCTGGATGAACAGGGGTCACAACCCCACCTGGCCACGAAGCTCACTGGGTGACCTTGGGCCAGTCAGTCATTCTCAGCCTAACCTACCTCACAGGACTGTTGTGAGGATAAAATGGGAAGAACTATGTATGCCACCTTGAGCTCACTGGAGGAAAGGTAGGATACAAATGCAGTCAATCAAAAACGTTCTGCTTCTTTCCTAAAGATGGCCATTATCTTGGCTTGCCATAATGGGTCACAGCAGTGTTATGATCCTACAAAGTAGGCATCTTCACTCTGCCTATGATCCACACGGTCTCATTTTTTGCCTTCTCAACTCTACATTAAGGTGACCCCAATTGGGACAAAACTACAAATGAAAAATGCCCAAGTGTGCTCTCTTTTACAAAAGCATAATGTTTGTTCAATTGTACCAGGCTCCTGATTAAAGGTCAGAAACAGGCTCAGGGTCTCGATGAAGAACTGCTGTGAAGCAGTTAGCAGTGCAATTTTGTCCTTGATAACAGCTGATGACTTGTCTGCATCCCACTTCAACCTCTAACTGTTAGCTCCTTTAATGGAAGTGCCTATAAAGATCCTCCCTAAAATATGCTTTTCCAGCACACTTAATGTCTTTTAATGTCTTTCCAATTAAATCCAGATGTGAAAAGCTTAAGGAACAGTTCTCAGGGCTGAAAAAGATGACATAAATCTTGCAGCTGACAGAGATCCCACTGAGCTTGGTTGGGGAAACTCACAGAGGACTTGTTGTGGGCCAGGAAAGCTGCTGGGTATAAAGACAGATGTGTACACTCCTATTGAAAATGCTGAAATAAAGAAAAGCCTCCTGAAATAGACCAGGGCACTAAAAAACACTGTAAGCCCAATCCTGCAGGGTACAGAATGCACCCTGAGAGGTTGCGATCTCTCTCAATTCCCACTACCCAGCACAGTCAATTTGTACAGAGAGTGCTGAGCATTTCACAAGGGGAGGTCTCTTCTCTCCCCTCTCTCTAATAATGAATAAAAGGTCATCTCCTGCAGGATCACCACACACCAATTCCAGAAGGAGTATAGCATACTCTTCACTTCTCAGGAAGGGCTCAGCGCCCTGCAGAATCCCATCTACTTAGCTCTTCCTCCACAAAGCAGGTTAGTGGTCTGCTTGCTTTGCTAAAGTTTACAAACTGCAATATTAATTACAGATTGTCACTAATCAGATGAGAATCTAGGCACTCCCAATGACTGAACAATGCCGCTGGGTGAGTGCTGTTTATGCAGCTGGCAACCACCGTTATTCCCAAAGCTAATTTTTGCCACAGTAAGAATTCTTTTTCCTCACCAGATGCTAAGAAGTGGATTAACCCAAGTTATCTGCATTTAAAGAAAGGGGGAGGCCCACAAGTCGGGTTTTATACTGTTTCTTGGGGTTACTAAAGTTTTTGAACTGCATTATATTTTTCAGCGCTCTTCCAATATTTTCTGAATATTGTAACTAGGAATGTGACTGTGGGGAAATGACAGGATTTTTCAGAAGGGACATTATTTCTGAGTGGAAGTCCAGATGATCAGTGATGACTTTCTGATGGAAAGAATGACATTGGAGACAATACAATAATTTCATTTAATACCAAGGCCATGTGCCATACCTGAGCTAGGGTATGACTGGCATTGCAGAAACACATAATGAGCTGCATTATTAAGCATGGCTTACTAAAACGGGTGACCAAATCTTGATTGTTCCTACACCTACTGTACCTAATATCCACACCAACACAATCCCATTGCTTAAGACGTGACAGTCTCCAACAACCTGAAACTATTTTAACCCTTCTCTCAACCTCTGTGGGGATATTGACAGGGAAATCCCAAGAACTGCCCTGTTCTCCGTTCTTCGGGGTGGGTTCAATATATTTTGCTGCCTGGTGTGAGCGATAAGACAGGCAGAAAACATCTGGACTGGCAGCTGAATCTTACTTCAACAACGGTGACAGGATAGTGTCCTTCACTGTACCTGAGATGGCAGGCTACTTTAGGGAGTCGAGGGGAAAGGCTAGGGGGAAAGTTAGGATAGGAAGGAGGCTGCCACCTGAAGAGGTCATCTCACTTTGCCCAATGATAGGGCTGACCCTGCTTTTTTCATTTCAAAACAAAGACTCACCAAATGAGCAAATATGCAGGAGGCTCTCACAAAATGCCCATTGCCTGGCAACAATGCAATAATCAGACTCCAGAGGTCTGTGGTCACTCCCTGAATTTCCTGTGCTTGGAACAACCATGTTACTCCCAAAGGGTTTGAACTGCATGTGTAACGGGAAGGAGTAATGAACTGAGATATCTATTGTGCTAATGGAGACCACCAGGATGGCACTGATTTATGTATTTTCTTTACATTTTATGATACAGAAATATTCTCTTCTAATTATAAATTGCATTGTTCTGGCACACTGCCATTGCTTGGGTATGCAATATGCCACATTCCACATTCAGTCCACTATTCTTGCAAACATGATAGCAGAAACACTCTACAGCTGATTGTGTATAATCCAGCTTGCGAAACTGTTTGGGCCACCTTTAAAATTTGATAATGAAAATAAACACACACACAATCAGTGGCATTTATACCAAAGGGCTGGACCCATTCTCAGGGGTCTTAGAAGCCATATGTAAAGATAGAATTCCCTGTCTTTAAAGGAAGGATAGTGATATTTAGCAATCATTTTCTGAACTCTGCAATAATAGCATTCATCTTGGATTCCAAATATTTTTTTTGTTTAAAACTAAAATGACAATAAAGAAGTTCTAGAGCTTTAATCAAAGCTCACCCCTGATCTGTACTAATTGATAACACCAGTATATGTCACCTCAAAAGTGTCCATGAGTCAGAAGAAACTATGAGCAGAATGGTTAGTATGTGGATATGGGTTGACAAGGTTTAAAAGCAACATTTAAAGTCCTATATCCAGGACTTTGGCTGAAAAATAAAGGAAAGGGCACATTTGTTCCTGGTCACTGAATTTGTAACCTGGGTCTGCTGCTCCTGCTGCTAAGCTCTAACACATTCTCTCCTAACCCACAACAACATCCAGTAATCCTAACTTTTGGTGCTTGGTGGTTAAGAAGTGAATTTTCAGGAAGGGAGAAAAATTAAACAGGGAGACTGGCTGGCTAGTATCTCGCTCCTTCACTGCAATGCATTAAGACAGCCAAAATTCTAACTTGTAAGAAAGGGTTCGTTTGATCCCTGTTTTTCAAATTAGATATGGCAGGGTCTGATTTACCTTTCTTCTCCCTTGGAAGGCTCTGGCAATCTTTGGGTATCCAAAGTGTACTATTAAGCTGGGTGGCTGCTGTTATCTTTCCCAGCCCCCACTGGGTGCAGAAATACTGAATCATAGGCTGGAGAAATGCATCTCAGGTTTCAGCCTCAAGGTGTAATTGCTCATTCAAGTCTCTTTAGAAGTTGCCTGCATCTGGCGCAGAAAAATGATCGGGATTGTTTTTCTTTCTGGAAGAGCAGAGAGACACTGTGTATTTTCTCTTACTTTTTATAATTTTCTCTATTCGTTACTATGGCAGAACAATTTTTATAGAAGAACTCTATACAGTACGACTCTGAGCCTTAGTTATCGAGTCTACCGTTTGGATCTCGTTACACTGTGTAACTTTGTAGACCTCCATGGTAGTTTAGCTGTAAGTTTACAAATACTTCAGGGTTCTAATCAGCCAAATGATTTGACCCAAACATATGTTGCTGCTTACTTGAAAATGGCAAAATATGCCTACAAGGTAGGTGTGTGGGTGTGTGTGGGTGTGTGTGAGAGAGAGAGAGAGAATGTTATCAACAGCTACAAAGAACACAATGACATACCCTGAGTGTTTGTTTTCATGGAAGCCAACAGCAGAACAACATTAGTTCCAGACAAAAACCAGGCTTTTACACACTCATTCTTACAGAGGGCAATAGTGTAATATTCCAAGAGAGGGAGGGACCAAGAGGATTGATGGTCCATCCACTACAGCAGAAAATAACGGGTTGGTGAGAGCACAATATGGTTAACTGGCCATTTGTAGGCCTGTTTTATACATTGCCCTCTTAGAGAGACATCACCAGCCAGGTAACAGATTTCCTTCAATATTTTGATCCTAGTAGTTTAGGAACCTTTCCAACTGGCAGTCAACAACATTTATTTGACACAGCTTAACTCCACAACTGCAGGCCTGCTTTTTCTCCATCTACAGTTACAGTCAAAAAAATAAATCGATATGTCCAAAACCATCCCAAGCAGCTGGCTTTTAGTATGCTAGATCTGTTAACTGCTATTTTATCATTCCTACTTAACACTCATTATTAAAGCCATTAATAATAGCTGGGTTCTTTTTTTTAATTAAAAACTGCTACTTTCAAAATCTGGGAAATTACAAAGCCACTTGCAATGTATTCCAAATATCTGCTAGTTGCAATAGTATTACAGATTTATAGGGTTTGAGATGGTCTGTAAAGACTTATCAAACCCTTTCTGCTTGAATTGCACCAGCAATTCCTATACATATATTTGCAAAGCAGCGTCAAACCTGACTTTTAAAAATGAAAATATTTTTAGTTTAGATATTCATTTATGAAAAACAAATGTAGTGCTGGATGCTGATTTAGTTATACTTTGAACAGACCCACTGAAATTAATGAGACTTATGTAATCATGACTTAAGTCCCACTGATTTCTACTCTAAGCATGGCTAAGTCTGGAACAAACCCACAGCTTTGAATCAAGTAACCCTATATTCATATGAGTTCACATTACTTAGATCACATTACTTGATGTGTGAGATGTATTTGTTCAAAAAGAGGGAAGAAGCTGAATCACAGAGTTGTAAATAAACTCATTTTGAAGTCCATATAGAATAAAAACACATAGGAATAAGGGGAAACTGACATATACCAAGTCAGATACTTTTGTCCACTTAGGCCAGTATTCTCTACTCTCAGGGTCTCTGGTAGAGGTATTTTATATCACCCGCTACCAGATCCTCTTAACTGGAGATGCCAGGATTTGAACCTGGGATCTTCTACATGCAAAGCATGTGTTCTACCACTGACACATGGCTCTTCTCCAAATCAGACAACTGTCTATAATGCAACATGACAATTCAGAGTAAAAAATATTTATGAACAGCAGCAGCAATCACCACCACCAGCGAGTTATTTAAGATATGGCAAGGAATAAAGCAGGCATAGGCAAACTCGGCCCTCCAGATGTTTTGGGACTACAACTCCCATCATCCCTGACCACTGGTCCTATTAGATAGGGATGATGGGAGCCGTAGTCCCAAAACATCTGGAGGGCCGAGTTTGCCTATGCCTGGAACAAAGGTATCAACCTTGCTAGAGCTCCAGCCACATTCCCTATGGTATGATGTGTGGGCTTCTAGAAAATGGTCTTGCAATTTATTGGGGAAGTGCTTCTTTTACTAGCACATTTTAAAAGAGCCTATTAGTTGTATCTGCAGCTCAAATGACAGAGGTCTGAATGTAGTGCCTTGGGCTGAACCCAGTTAATCTGCCAGAAGCTTCGCAGTGTTTATTGTGCTCACACTCACAATCACCCTGTGGAAAGCCAGTGTGCTCATTCTCACAACAACTCTGTGAAGGGGGAGGGACCATAGCTTAAGAAGGAGAGTTTTGTATGCCCCAGGTGCCAAGTTTAATGCATGGCACTTTAAGTTAAAGGAGTTCATGACAAAAAAATAAATAAATGGCAGTGGTTTGACTTTAGTAACAAGTACCCATGTTTGCTTGTTTCCTTTTATCTCTCCATTCATTCCCCCCATTTTGTGTCATGTCTATAGGATTGTGAACCTGTGGGCAGGGCCATTGTGCTTTTCAATGCCTGTATAGTGCCTAGAAATTGACTGTAAACAACTTTAAAATACCTTAGAGAAGAAAAAGCCCCCAGTCCTCATAAAGCATGAACTAAGAATGGCACTAACATCCTAACAGCCTTCTGGATCATTTAGGTTCAACAACGTATTTTCTAGGGTGGAGGGTTAACGGGTTCTTGTTATTGCTTTTCTTGTAAAAAATTTAGTATATCTATCTAATGTATGCAATAGATCCCTGTACTTTGGAAAAATCACAAAATCATAATAAAAAATGGAAATCAGAGCAATACGTTTGGCACCAGCTGGGCTGCAGGAGTTGCTGGAAGGAGGCGTATAAGGCGCCATCCAACTGTCTTAGGAATTCCACTCTGGATTTATGGAGAGTTTTACTCCTTATGATTTTCTCTCTCTCCTGAAGATACCCTGCAAGGCAGTGGAGGTTTAGGATCAGTTTTCTTCCTCCTAGATGAGCTACCTTCCCAGATTGACAAGCCCCACCTGCCCTTAACTTCCCTCTACAGCACATGCAAAGACCACCTTCTTGACCACTGGACCCACTATTGGTCTCATCCCCATAATGTGCCAGAGCCTGTGTTCGAAGGAAAACCATGTACGCCACCTTGAGCTCCTTGGAGAAGAGGAGGGATATAAGTGCAACAAATAAATAGCAGCATTCTAATGAGGTCTGCTGTCCACCATTCACTAATATTCAGATGCATACAATGCTAACAGTCATATTAAACCCTATTCTCAATTACCCTGTTTAAAGCAATCTATAAAGCAATCTATTACCCTGCTTTTAAAGCAATCTATAAACTCATGGTTATCACCACGTCTTGTGTTAGAGAATTCCATAAATTACTTATCCACTGTGTAAATAACTCTTTCCCCTTTTCTATCATGAATCTGTCAATCAATTTCAATGGATGATCAAATCTTAAATTCTACTATTATGGTATGGAAAACAAGACATCTTTTTACAGTTTCTCCATACCATGGTTAATTATATAAGCCTCCATCATCTCTTCCCCCACTTAGTCACCTATTTTTCATAACAAACAAGAAACAAGAATGTGCTCTAACTCTTGGATTATTTGGGTTGCCCCTTTCAGTTTTTCTTTGATGGAATGATCAGAACTGTACACAGTATTCCAAATGCAGATGGCACCATAGATTCATATAAGGCCATTAAAATACTGGCTGTTTTATTTCCAAACCCTTTCCTAATAATCCCTGGCAAGGGATTTGCCTTTTTCACTGCTATTGCATAGTTGGTATTTTCACTGAGGTATACACCACAACTCCAAGGTCTGTTTCCTGCTTAGTCATCACAAGCTCAGATTCCATCAGTGAACATGAGATTTTTTTGCTGTGATGTACACCACTGTACATTTATTACACCGAACTTCATTTGCCATTGCCCAGTGACACATTTTGGAAATAGCTTTTTGGAGCTTCTCGGAGGTTACTCAGTTTTTTTACCATCTTGAATAATTTGGCATCATCTGCAAAGTTGGCTACCTCAATCCTTACTTCCTTTTCTTATACTACTAGAATGCAGGGTCATCAAGGAAAGCTGAAGGTTGGAAGATTCAAGACAGACAAAAGTACTTCTTCACACAGCCAAGTGTGTGAAGAATTTGCTCCCACAAGAGGCATTGATGGCTGCATGGCTTTAAAAAAGGATTGGATGAATTCATGGAGGACAAGGCTAACAGCTACTAGTCATGATAGCTATATTTTACTTCCACTGCTGGAGACAGTATGCCTCTGCATACCAACTGCTTGAAATCACAAGTGGGAAGATGTCCATCTTGTGGGCTTCCCATGGGCATCTGGTTGGTCACTATGGCCTTTATTCAGCAGGGTTCTTCTGTTATGAGCACATAATTTATGAATAAATGTAACTTCACTAGTCCCAATATAGGCTTACTTCCAAAGCAAGAATGTTTTTCCAACTCACTGCTTCCTGTTCTTCAGTTAGTTACTGATCTATTAGAGGACTTGTTTTCTTATTCCATGACTCCTAGATTTCCTCAGAAGTCTTTGGTGAGGGACTTTGTCAAAGGCATATTGGAAATCTAAGTATATAATGTCTACCGGATCACCACTATCTGTATGTCTTTTGTCATTCTCTATGAATTCTGAATGTTAGTGAGGCAGGCTTTCCCTTTGCAAAACCCAGGCTGGTTCACTCCCAGCATGGCTAGCTTTTCAATATCTGGAGTGTGGAATCTGTGCCCCCCCCCCCGATAGACTATAACTCATCTAAGCCCCAGCCAGCATAGTCAATGGCTGGAGAAGATGAGCGTTGTATCCCAACACCATCTGGAGGGCCAAAGGTTCCACATCCCTGTTCTATATGTTAATTCTAGCTTTAGTAAGTTTCCATTAATTTATACAGGACAGATGTTAGGCTAACAGGTCTGTAATTTCCTGGCTCCCCTCTGGCTCCCTTTTAAAAAATCAATGTTCTGTTGGTTACTCTCCAATCCTCCAGCAAGAAGGCCAATTTTAGTGACAAGTTGCATATTTTTGATAGAAGATCAATAATTTCATACTTGAGTTCTTTAAGAACTCTCAGGTGTATGGCATCCGGATCCAATGTCTTGTTAATTTTTAATTTGTCAATTAGCCCTAGAATTTCATCTCGTCATCCCTATTTGACTTAGTTCTTTAGACAAAGAATGCAGTTCAGGTATGTCTTTCTGTCCTGCATCTTTCACAATGAAGACTGATCTGAATAATTTACTGAGCTTCTCTGCAAGCATTCTATCTTCCTTAGCAATCCTTTCACACCTCTGTACAGAAGAGAAGCTTTCAGTGAAACAGAGAGGGAAACTATCTTTGACAATCTCCTTTCCCCCCGCAATATATATACTCTCTCTCTCTCTCTCTCTCTCTCTCTCTCTCTCTCTCTCTGCTCCAGAGGGTTGACAGATCCTAGGAACAGACTTTTTTTTTTTAAATGATATTTATTGGAAAAAAAAAATTTTTAGAGTTACAAAAAAAAAAGAACAAAGAAAGAACAGAGAAAAACACAAACCACATCCCACAATACAAATTAAAAAAAAAACACAAAAATACACCGCAGACATTTAAAAACAAATCCATTATTCTCAAATCCTCAACTGTCATTACCTTCTTTCTTTGACCTCCTCCTCCTCCCTTTTTTTGTATCCTAGTTGTTAATTGTTGCAGCAAATCTTTTCCATATTTCATAAAATTCTGTCATTACATTACCTTAAACTATTTTAATCTTATCTTACTATAAAGAACCTTGAAACTTAAAACTTAAATCTTATTTTTACCAACTTCTCATAACCATAATATTCTTACATAATTCTTTAAACATTTTTACTAAAGCCAAGTAATTTCATTCCAACATTTTTCTAACATTCATCAATTTTATAAAACAATCCTAGTAGTAGAAAAAGAAATAAAAACAATCCAATCTTCATCCAGCGTCCCTTCCTCCTGATCCCGGGTTTTGTCAGTCCTTGTTATCCCATCGATCTAGCGCATTAACCTGGTAACCTTATATCCGAGGCCCTTAAGTCTCTTCCATGTCCCTTCCGCAGCTCTTCTTCATATTTGTAACTGTATTTTCCCTTGTCTCCTGCTCGTTTCACTCGTGGGAACTCCAGCTTAACAATATTTTTGACCCTTCTCGACAGATCAGCCCCTTTTCCATAATCCACACTAAATTCCATGTGGTATTTAAGAACATGTTTCAAAATCCCTCCAAAATTAGGAGCCCCCACAATCCCAGACATCTCACGGCCCATTGCCAGACTTGAAAAGTCCAAACATCCCTGCATAGGGGGGCTAATCCAACCCCCCATTTCCAAACCAAACCAAACTTTTTCTTTCTAAATCTGGCTTTTTCCAAGTTCATTTGTCAAATCCGAAAGCTCATGTTCCTGTTGGGCCTGTTCTGTCAGGGCACACTCCTGATTTAATTCCTGGGTGGGCTCCACATATTTTCCCATTGCCTGTTCAAAATTTCCCACTGCCTATTCAAAATTTCTAATCGAATCAGCCATTAAATTCGTCTTCTCATGTAGCTGTTCCAGTAGGGCATTTGTTTTATAGAAAGCACACAACAGAGCTTCAGAATACATTGTCCTGCAAGGTCAGATGTCTGTTCCCACAATTGTAATCTGTAACAGCTGCCAGCTCCCCGGAGTTGGTTACAGTTTCACAGTCTCCCTCTGGGGGAAAACTTCTATT